AAAAAAAAAGTGGGGAGAGTGGGCATCCTTGTCTTGTTCCCAATCTTAGAGGAAAAGCTTTTAGCTTTTCACTGTTAAGTATGATGTTGGCTCATTGTGGTTTTAATTTGCATTTCCCTGATGACTAGTGATGTGGAACATCTTTTCATGTGCCTGTTCGTCACCTGAATTTCTTTCAGCCTTTTTATTCTTGAATCAGTTTTAGACATTTACCATTTTATAGGAACTTACCCATTTCATCTAAGTTTTCAAAGTCATTTCCATTAAGCAGCTCATACATTCTTCTAATATCCGTAGGCTCCCTCTTTCCCCTAATATTTATTTGTGCCTTCTGTTTCTTTTTTTGATATTCTCACCACAGATTTGCCTATTTTATTAGTTTTAACAAAAACACTTGACTTTATTGATCTTTCCTATTACAGGTTTCCTTTCTAATCAATTTTTGCTCCTAGCTTTCTTATTTTTTCTACCATTTTTGTTTTATTCTCTTATTTACTTATGTTGGATGCTTAGTACCTTGACTTTCAGCTGCTTTTCTATATGGAAGAATTCAGACCTAATAAATTTCTTTCTGAAGTTCCATTTTAGCTACACCTCTAGTGTTTTGATATGTATTATGTTCATTATTGTTATTGTTCTATTTCAGGTAATTAAATTTCTATAAATTCTCTTTTTAAAAAAGAGAAATTAAAATTTTATCTATTTATTACTAGTTGCTATCAAAGCTGCACTGTGGTCAGAAATAGTGTATATAAAATCTTTCAAATTTGTTGAAATCTGTCCCATGGTTCAGTACATAGTCAATTTCTGCAAATGTGCCATGTGAACCCGAGAAGAACAATTCTCTAACTGTAGAATATCTGTCTGCTCTACCAGTTTTGCTGTGGTAGGCTGAATAATAGCCATACATCCATGTCCTAATCCGTAGAACCTATGACTATTATCTTATGTGTTAAAAGGGACTTTGCACATGTGAATAAATTAAGGATCTTGAGTTTGGGAGATTATCTTGGATTATCTCTGGGCACTCAAAGTAAACACAAGGGTCCTTAAAAGCAGCAGGCACGAAGGTCCCAGGGAAGAGATGGGCTGACAGATGCGGAGGGCAGTGTTGCACTGTGGATACAGAGGAGGCGGCCGGGAGCTAAGGACACAGGCAGCCATTAGAAACTAGAAAAGGTGAGGAAACGAATTATCCCCTCAAGTCTTCAGAAGGAACACTACCAAAAACTCCAGAACTGAAGAGAATAAATGTGTGTTGCTTTAAGACAACAGTAAGTCTGTATTAATCTGTTTCAGGACAAATACCACATGAGGAAGGGTATTCAAATCTGTCTTCCCTGGCTTTCCAGCCTATCTAGCAATTGAGAGCAGTGGGCTCCCACCATAAGGGAAATGTTCTCATTTTCTCTTTGACGTTCCAGCTGCCTGTTTTACGTATCGTGAGCCCTTTTATAACTTATTTTCCTGATGAAATAAAATTCATATCATTATGAGGTGGCTCCTTTTTATACTTGCTAATATGTTTTACTTGAATGTCCATTTTATCAGCAGGCAGTGTGATGACCTTTGGTTATTATTTGCCTGATATATCTTTTTTCATCCTTTCATATTTAACTTTTCTGTATTTTTATATTTCAGATACCTCTGTCACCAACATATAACTTGATCTTTAAAAAACCCCACTGAACCTATCTTAATTGGCAAATTTAGGGCATTACCACTGATAGGATGTCTGGTACAATTCTGGGGTTGTTTCTCTCACCTTTATGTTTTCTATTTAGCTCACTTTCTCTCTTTTTGCCTTCTTGTCTTATCTCATCTTGGTGGGAGAGGAACAGAAGTTTTGTCTATCTTTCCCATTCTGCCCCTACACATTTCTGTTCCGGTAGTACTGCAGCGGCTGCCCTTCGACTCCGTGCATCTGCCTCGGGCAGTGCTGTTTGTCTCTAAGTGAAGCACCTCAAGAAGCCAGGCCACACTTTTTGGATTCTCATGCCTTCTTCCCATGGCTCCTTGTGTTGCTCCAAGATCCTCAGTTACCCCTGCTTCACTATGCTCGCTGCACCTACCCCAACATTGTTTCCAGGAACAGGAAGTACAAAACCAAACAGATTATATGTTACAATCTTGACTATCTTAAGGTTAAAGAGTTTCTGAACAACAGCCTGAAGGGTCTATCACATACAAAGTTGGGTGGCATGTACTTTGTTTTCTTAAGAGCTGAGGTTACTAAATCATAAATAAGACTCTTCTTGTGACAAAGGTACTATTTATAGAAAAAAAGCAATGAATACTTTCTTAGGACTTTTGTAAATGGTGTGGTTCTCCTTCAATTTGTTATGCTACCATAAGGTTGGTTAATGAAGTAAGAAGGAAACCTACAACAAAACACATGTGCCACTTTTATGCTCAGCAGAAATCAAAGCTAATGAAAGATAAAATTTTCTTTCAAGTTTTGATAAGACCAGGCCTGATTTCAGTAAAAAACTTTTTAATTCTGTAGACGAGTGTCAAAAAATTAAATTCATACTCTAGTAAGTAGTCTACATTAATTATGAAATTTCTGTAGAAGATTTAGTAGAAAATAAGATATAGCTGGAAAAATCTGCTGTGGCACATTTTATTATAGATTCAAAAGATATGCCAGAATAATTTTATAAAACAAATTTTCTCTCTATATACAAAAAAAATCTGCAGTAACATAAAAATATATCACACTTAAAATAGACAATGAAATCAAACACATTTTACGGCTGTTTTTTAGGTCGCTAATAACAAACTGTATGTTTACATGGATTCTCAGCGCCCAGTGCCCTTTGTTGGCCTTGTTTAAATGCCAATTTACCATGATGCTCTTCTTGTAATTCACATCTACCTTTAAATCCTAAGTTCTAGCTGAGGAAAAATTAGCCTACTGAAAATATAAGCCACTGACAGGAAATCTAAGACAATAAGACAATATAAATGTCTTCTTGGGATTTTCTGATGGCATCACTCAAACTCACTATTGTTTTTGCAGGAGCATTTATTTACTCAGACACAAGCTTTAACCCAAAGTAAAGCAATGAGCTTTTGCTAAGTTTGCCAAGCAAAGAGTGCAATCAGAATGCAACAAAGAGCATGTACTCCAAAAACTGAGAAGCTCCCAGCTGGACCAAAGTCACTGCAACTCGGCTCCACCAGGAAGAGCCACGGAGAGGGCATCTGACTAGTCAGAACCTAACGCCTACCAGCTAAAGCAGCATCCTCCTCGCTTTCTGAGCCATACTGAAGTGCCATGGTGATTGCCGACAGTCGGCCCCCTTGGACTGCTCTTTTATTGCTGCAAAGAAAAAGAAGCAATCAGGAGAGAGGGAAAGACGTTATAATAATCTGGTTACTTTACAGGAAATAGGAACTATTAATAAAGCAGTCACATCAAAGAAAAAGAATTTCTATTCAACTGCTTCCTCAATTTATCTCTGTACTTTTTATATTCCCCATAAGCAATCTTAGCCAAGACTACCACCTTCTTGTCTCTTAGAAATGAGAGAGTGGTGGTGGAAAGCCTAAGGTAGACCTTGAGAGTCTTTTTTTTACTTAAATGCAATATTACTCCTTATTTTATGAAAAACAAAGATTCATTCATAATTACTGGTTAATTCTCTTCTAAGATGCTCATATTTTACAATAAATTCTACTATAAACACAAACCTTTGTAGTATCTTACTACACATTTTATGGGTAATACTAATTTGTCACTACCTGACAAACTGCTTGAGCATTCTCCAGAGGTGACGTCAGGCCTACTAGAACACCTCAACCTTTTAAATAAAGTATGCAACAACGAAGTGTCATAATAATTCAACTCTACCCAAAAAGATTACTTCAAATTAGCCATCAACACTACTATGCCTATCCTCATAAACACGGGTCAGCTCTCAAACTAAAACACACTCACTCTCTCACCGGTAGTACTTGCTAGTGGGATTTCTCTCTTCACCAAGGCTGCCTTTACTATGCGAAGGACCTGTCAGCCTGGCTGCAGCCAAATTTGATGAAGTCCTACCCAGAGATAAGATAAAAAAAAAAACCTTCAGAAAATTGACAGCTGAAATCGGAATGTTTGGTAAACCAAAAGGAAACGATTGATTTCGTCTTTTCTAAACAGAATTTCTCAAATATTTCGGAGCCTGCGCAGCAGACTTTGCTTCCAAAACCTGATGATTCTGCAGAAGAGAATGGACCTGAGTTGGTCGTAGAGAACTTATGGCTACTGCAGTGACCAGAGGAGCTGGTAACGAGGCGAACGGCAGGGTCAGAAGAGCCTCGAAAGCAGCCACTCAAACTTTCCATTTAGGGTAGGATGAAATGGAATCCTAGAAGAAGACTTGTTCAAAGTCATAGTCCTAGCACAAGGAAAAGCCAGGAAAAGACTTTAGACGTCCTGACACCTGGCTACATATTCTTAATGCAAATATAAATATATACTATTGCACATATTATATACAAATATAATATCACATGTATTTATCACATATGATGTATGTTATGTAATATATATTACATGCAAATACAAATATATATGTATACACATATATGTGTGTATATATGTGGCAATAAAAGTCTGTAGTGGTGTTAAAGTTTTAAAATTGTTTTTTAAATATAGCCCTTAAAGCTACAGTGAAGAGGCTGGGTAAGAGTTGTGCCTACTCTCTTCAAAATACATCATCAACTGTAAATACACTCTTCAAATGTAACATGCATCTTATTTTCCACTGTAATGATTTCACTATCTAGAAAATTTGACAAACAATAAAAGCACAAGGATTTTAGACATTTTTAAAACCTACCTCATTCGAAGGCTTGACTTAGCCATTTCATGATGTTCAATTTCTGCCTTTTTCATATAAAATATTTTTTTAATAGAATTTGCATCCTGTCAACATAAAATTACTTGGTTTAGAAAAAGTATAGAAAAGAACAACAGTTTAAATCTATGGTACTCCTTCCTTCTGGAGTAGCTTTACATTCAGTTCTGCAAAGATGCATCCTCTAACCTTTCTGCAAGCTTCCAGAACATCTTCATAATTATATATAAGTTAAAAAGCCCCCTACCTCTTTCACAATTAATCAGTAACACACAAAGATCTAATGGTGAATAGGGGTGAAATACAATGAACTTTACCTGTGTACACTGACCTAAAAACTGAAACAAATATACACTTCTAAGATTAAAGACTATGTACACAAACTTAGGATGAGTATACCTGCTTAAATTAATAGCATACAGATATATCAATTCCCAAGTTTCCCTTCTCTTCACAGTTTGTTTAGGGAAAACAATAGGACCAAGAAGTAAGATTCTTAACTGTATCAACAAATAATTGGTACTATACCATTAAAATGTCCTATCAAAGACAAAGAATACAAGGTTTATTCCTGATTTTCACTCATGAAAGTTAGAATTAACTACCAAAAGCAACTGTACCTGAGTCGGCATTCTGAAAGTCTAAATGATTTTATTCCCAAAAGATTTTGTGTACCCTTTGCTAAATTCTCAATGATACACTATTAACTCAAGAAATTTCTACAAGCAACTGTTCATTATAGGTCTACAAAACTTGTAGGAGGACATTGCAAAGCAATGAAATAGTCATTTAATATTGTGTTACTATATTACACAGATTGCTTTTTATATTTATGAGGTTTAAATAAAAGGACTAAATCAATATTTAACTAAAAAGTGGATCAAAAACAAACCAGGTCTGGCATAGAGACAGACATACAGATGAATGGAATAGAACTCAGAATCCAGAAATAAACCCATATATCTATATAGTCAGTTGATTTTCAACAAGGGTGCTAAGATAATTCAATAGGGAAGAAACAGCCTTTTCAATATAAGGCCCTGGGAAATGAATGGCCCATGTAAAAGAATGAATGTGGATTCCTACTTCACACCTACCTCAGATATACAAAAGTTAATTCAAAATGGATCAAAGGGCTAAATGTAAGGGCTAAAACCATAAAATTCTTATAAGAAAACATAAGTGTAAATCTTCATGGCATTGGATCAGAAAATGGTTTCTTAGAAATGACACTAAAAGCACAAGAACCAAAGAAAAAAAATGGACTTAATCAAAACCAACGTTTATGTATCAAAGAACACTATCATGAAAGTGAAAAAAACAATGCATAAAATAGGAGAAAATATTTGTTAAACATAAATCTAACCTAAAGTCCAGACTATATAAAGAACTCTCGCAACTCAACAGTAAAAAGACAGCTAACCCAATTAAAAAATAAGCTAAGAATCTGAATAGACATTTTTCAAAGAAGACATACAAATGGCCACTAAAGGCATGAAAATACATTCAACGTCACTTATCATTAAGGAAATGCTAATCAAAATCACAATGAAACACTACTTCACACCGCTAGGTTGGGTATAATAAAAACAAAAACAAAGTGGAAAACAGGCATTGGTGAGGATATGGAGAAATTACACTTGCATGATGCTAGTGGGCATGTAAAATGGTACAGCTGCTTTGGAAAACAATGTGGTGGTTCCTCAAAAAGTTAAATATATAGTTACCACATGGCCCAGCAATTTCATTCTTAGGTATGTACCCAAGAAATATGAAAATATATGCACACATAAAAACTTACGCATGGATGTTCTCATAGCAGCATTGTATGTAATAGTCAAAAAGTGGAAACAACCCAAAAGTGTAGAAACCAATGAATGGATACATAAAACATGGTATATTCATATAACGGACTATTCGTCAGCAATGAAAACACAAAGTACTGACACAAGCTACTACATGCATACTTCCTATAACATGCTCAGTGAAAGAAGACAGTCACAAATGATGACATATTGTATGATTCTATTTACGAAATGTCCAGAATAGGCAAATTCAAGTGAATCTAAGTGATTAGGATGACAGATGTAAATCTCTGTGAATATACTAAAAGCCATTAACATGTACCCTTTGAGTGAAATGTATGGTATATGAATTTTATCCCAATAAATTTGTTATATAAACGTTCTTGGCTCTAAGTTAAAGTATCTACTCTTATCAGTGAAAACAACAAAAAACTAACCTTGAATACTTGAGAACCAGGCTCATTGTAAGTCTTGGCATTTTTTGCTAGGAGATCTATATCTCTGGCCATTGCATGAATACTCTTGTAGCTTCCATTCTACAGTAAACATGAAGTATAAATTTATGGTTATTGGGAGTTAATCAGTACAACCTTTAAAAAAAAGAACTCCACATATTCCTAAATTGTCAACATAATCCAAGACCTTATTGGACAGTACACATGTGAACAATATTTAAAGTCACGTTCTCTTTCAACAACTATTTCTATTGCCTGTTTACACCCAAGTTTTGAGATAGGTAATAAAATCAGAGCTACACTGTTCTCATAAAATTTATAATTTAAAAAAATCAAATAAGGTAAAAGTTAATTTAGCAAACACAGAGTGGTTACTCTGTGCAAAGCATGTTCTAAGTACTACATGAATACTAATTAACTAATGTGAACTTAATAGTGTGAGATAAAAATCCTCTGGTTTTAGGGACCACTTCAGTAAAATCAGTCAGTCTAGACAGAGGGTAACATTCTGTGAGTGCCTACTATGCACCAGGCTCCCTGACAGAGCTGGCACATCTAAAGTTTACTCAATCCAAAATCACCCAGGGAGAGTCAAAATTGCTTGTCTACAAAGGGAAGGAAAGAAGGAGATGCCCTAGGCAAGAGGCACTTGATTTGCACACTGTTGGTTATATCTGAGGCAGAAAGAATTTGGTTCTATCAAGCTTCACGAAATACCCAACAGCATGCTGTAAGGGTTAGTTAGTATTTGGTAGTTATCATTATATATCCAATACACCACAACTGATTGTTTAAAAAAATTCTAAAATCGCAGAATCACACAAACATGCAGAAAGCACTCGAGACTAATGAGAAGGACACAGAAATAAACAGACACGTTAGAGAGAGAGTGAGAAAAGCAAACTGAGGAGAGCGGGGAGTGGGGAAGGGCGGAGCCCAGGCACAGGCTGGTAGGCAGGGCAAGGACAGATGAGGCAGAGCCCAGAGAGCGAGGTAAGGGGAGAGCCGGTCATCTGCCAGGTGGGGATCCCCAACATCTGAGCACTCTTTCTGTCTGGAGCAAGTCCCAGTAGAGGTGGCAAGGAGGACCTACCTTCAGCAGAGAGTAAAAGTAGGCAGACGGTAGCTTTGCCAGAAGCCTGGCACCAGGACAAGGGGAAATAATTCATGCTTGAGTCTTGAGGGACCAAAACAATGGCAAGGGAATGGAGGAAGGCACTCCTAACTCCTGCAGGAGAGCAGGCTAGGAGCGGAGCAGCGGGCATCAGGGCCCATGGAGGCAGAGGACAGTGGTAACGGCATCGGCCCCACAGAGAGACCGGTCGTGACCTTAGCTGTGCCACAACATCCGTGAGCTCTGCCTAACTCTCCAAGGCTAGTTCTCCAGTCTGCCTTCCCAACAGTCCATGAGCGATCTAATACCCTTCTCAGTGATTCTCTTTCTGCGTGAGTCAGCAAGAGCTGATCACTGATGAGCTGGTACGAGATGCTGCGACTTGCTTCAGCAGGCATTAGCGAACACAGCGGGAAGCGAACTAGGGTCAGGAAGCGACATGCAGAAAGCGCTCGAGACCCTTTCATCAGAGGTAGGAAAGAAGGCTGCAATAATTCGGACATAAAAGGACAAGATCTTGATTAGGGCGCTGGCACTAGGAGGTGCTTCTGTGGAGCTCTCAAAAGGAAAAGAGGACAAGGTGAGCAGTCACACAGAGAAGACTGGGGCTGAGGAAGGCATGTTTAATTGTGTGTTTTTTCAGTTTGATGGAAACATCTTCCACCTAGACCACAGATTTGAATTCCAGGTCTTGGGCTGGAATTGAGTCGTCCTGGGCTGCCTTAAAACCAGGTGATACATTAGGGACGCTGTATTTGAAGGTTCTGTGAAACTGCACTGAGGGCACCATACTGGTGCTCTTGACTACTCTCTCAGAACTGAAGTCCAAGAAGTTTCTCCCTCCGGGCACATACATCTCCCAGTGAGACCACAGAACACTTTCAACATCCCTCTTTGCTCCTCTATTGGGAGTCCTGAACCCTCCTAACCCTCAGAGGATCAGTAACTCACACTGCCCAAGGCCACACCCTGTGAGATGCTTCACATGTATGATCACTGACCCTACGACTCCGTGGAGCGGCACCACACACTCGACATACAGCAGAGGAAGCAGGTGAGTCACCGACCAAAGTAACAGCTCGTGAGGAGCACAGGTAGGAAAATGACCCACGTCAGTCGGGCCCTTAAACTAGATTCTGGTATGATTTAGCTCACCTGCTTATACCTTCCTCACCCTCTATTCACCAGATATTAGATCTGCCATTCATTCGCTCAATTACCATTCACTGAGCACCCAGTCGGTGGCAAGGCAGTAGCAATGTAGGGGTGAGGGCAGAACGCTGGAGCCAGACTGTTCAATCCTAACTCTGTTTCTTTACTAGCTGATGATGTGGCATCTCTGAGCTTCAGGTTCCTGATCTGTACAGCAGGCCCAGCAGCATCTCCCTCAGGAAGCTGCTGTGAGGACTCCTCAGCTGATACATGGAGAGCACTTAGCGCGGAGCAGGCGCCTGGCAATTCTGGCACTGCCGGACACAAGGAGGGGGCACAGGGAGGACCTCTTCGTTTTCACTGACCTTACACTGAACATCTGTTGTAGGCAGCTTTTATTCTGAGATATCCTAAAACTATTTGGAAGCAGATAAAAATAAACAACAAAGCCTTTATTGCCAGTGTACCTTTCATGAGCAGAAATGTCCATGAAACCAATGCTTTTTAATGTTTGTCCTCAGAGCAAGATGTACTATGCCAATGAAAACTTTGCTTTTCTCCCTACAGAAAAAAAATGCAAAAGGGACACTATGCTGCTTCCTCCAGAGCAGCAGTCAGTTAGAGCACTCTAGTTCACTTCCCACGTATCACCGCCAACCCCTTAGAGACATCTGCTTCTCTGTTTTCTAAAAGCCCTTGAAAAAGACCACAGGCCAATCTGCCCTAAACCATTTAAGGTTACATACGGTCCCCTTCATACCTGTATCCTCTGGGCAATGGTCTTGAGATCTATAGGCTCCTTAATTATTGCATAATAGTCTGGATATTGCTAGAAGACAAAAACCCAGGCATGCTTAGTAAGTGCTGTATCCAGCTACTGAGAAAACAAGGAAGCACGCTGACGATCCATCAAACGACTGAACAGCTCTGTGTTTCCAGGTCAAAGACACAGCTGCACCACACACTGTTGGCTATACCTGAGGCAGACAGGATTTGGTTCTGTCAAGCCTCATGAAACACCCAACAGCATGCTGTAAGGGTTAGTATTTGGTAGTTATCATTATATACCCAATACACCACAACTGATTGTTTAAAAAAATTCTAAATTCGCAGAATCACACAATTTTAAATTTAGGGTCCCAAGATATCTACGTGGGGAAATGAAGTAGAGGAATGTTTTTTTTTAAATTTTTTTATTAAGGTGTGATTGATAATACACTCTTATGAAAGCTTCACATGAAAAAACAATGTAGTTACGACATTTACCCATATTATCAAGTCCCCACCCACACCCCAATGCAGTCACTGTCCATCAGTGCAGCAAGATGCCGCAGATCCACTATGTGCCTTCTCTGCGCTACACCGTTCTCCCCGTGATCCCCACACCATGTGTACTAAATAGAGGAATGTTTTTGAAGTACTTGCTATAAGCTCTTTAAATTCTGTAATCTAAATACAATTAATATCCTACTTCACATAAAATTTGTAAGAATCTATAAGAACTCAGGTTGCAAGATTTGTTAGCTTAATGTTAAACTTCATGCTTCTACTTATTTCAAATAATTTTCAAAATAAAACATTTTAAATGAAACAAAAGAAACAAAGGAAATGATAAGCAATTTCTGATTTCTTACAAACTATTAGTTCATCCCAAGAAAACAAGTTAAACATGTCAGAGGAATGAACTTGAAGGGTTTCACAAAGCCTAGAGTGCATTCACTACCCTAAGCCTCTCCTACAGGTTTTGTTCCTTAGAGGAAATAATTAACTAGGATCAAAACCCAAAAGTTAGTCTCCTCAGATGGGAGAGGTGTCAGGGGAAGTCAAATCCTTGGAGCCCAAACAATAGCGATGATGACGAGGCGCCTTCACTCAGCTACTGGGCAGCACTCGGGGAGCTCTACCGCTCTGACCCCTCAGCCTGCCTCCCTCTACTTTCTTAGTCCAACTCCTTTCTTTGCCTGGGCCAAATGCTTCCCTGCCACCTCTCTCCACCGTTCTACTCCGGAGAAACAGTCCAGAAGACAAATTACGGCAAGGTCACACAGGTTGGGCAGCATAATCCAAGCTGTTGGGCCCCTGGATTCCCAATCTGCCTCTCCACTTAGCCAGGCCTGCTTGGGAGGGACTTACCAAGAAAAGGTAAAAACCATCCTCCCTTCCACACTGTGGGACCAGGATGGGATAGCACTTCCCCCAACCAACTCCTGCCGCATGGTATCCCTGAAAGTGGGAACTAGACAGTAATGTTTGATTGCTCCAAATCACCCTTGGTGGCTTGACCACTACTGATTATCTCCTGCAGAGTAAGAACAGATCTTGAATAAAGATTACACTCTTTTCTTACAATTTTTTATTGCAGTGAAATACACGTAAGATTTGCCATTTAACCATTTTAAGCCAACAGTTCAGTGGCACTAAGTGCACTCACATTATTGTGCGACCATCACCTCACCGTCATCCGTCTCCAGGGGCTTTCCTCTTTCCAAACTGAAGTGCCATACCATTTGAACATGAACTCTCCACCTGCCCCTGGAAAACACAGGTCTACTTTCTCTATGAATTTGACTACTCTAAGTACCACCTGTGAGAGAGATCATACGAAGTCTGTTCTTTTGTAATGAGCTTATTTCACTTACTATAATGTGTTCAGGGTTCATTCTTATTATAGCATGTGTCAGATTTCATTATTTTTTACAGGCTGAATAATAGTCCATTATATGTATATACACCATATTTTGTTTATCCACTCATCCGTTGAGACATGGATTGCTTACACATTTTGACTATGGTGAATAAAACTGCAATGAACCTAGGTGTACAACTATCTCTGATACCCTGCTTTCACTTTTAGTTATAGACTCAAAGTAGAATTGCTGGATAATATGGTAACTCCATGTTTAAGATTTTGAGGATTTGTCTGTTTTCCTTAAAATTTTAAATGTATCACCAATATAATCATATTTTTCTAATCAGACCCATTCTTAGAATAGCAGCAGTCATGCTGTATTTCTAGTTTAATAACTGTCCTACAACTTAGTCAAGACACACCTTTACATTAACTAGTCTTGTCAATGACTGATGGGGAAAGCTGCATGTCATTTGTCAGTCAGCAAGCATCTCTTATACACCCATGACACACTGCATTTCAGATACATGACAAGGACACAAAAGAGAATATGGCTTAGTCCTTGTCTTTAAGAAATTCAGGGACTAGGGAAGGAGGTAGAGATAAAAGGAAATGATCACAATGGAGCTGAGTGGTATAGTGAACTACTTATTTTATTTTATTTTTATTTAGGTATCATTGATATACAATGTTATAAGGGTTTCACATGAGCAACATTGTGGTTACTACATTTACCCATATTATCAAGTCCCCGCCTCCACCCCACTTCAGTCACTGTCCCTCAGTGTAGTAAGATGCTAGAGTCACTACTTGTCTTCTCTGTGCTTTACTGCCTTCCCCATGACCCCCCTACATTATGTGTGCCAATTATAATGCCCCTTAATCCCCTTTTCCCTCCCTCCCCACCCATCTTCCCCATCTGCTTCCCTTTGGTAACTGTTAGCCCCTTTTAGGAGTCTGTGACTCTACTGCTGTTTTGTTCCTTCAGCTTTGTTTTATTTTTGGTATCATCAATCTACAATTACATGAAGGACATTATGTTTACTAGGCTCCCCGCTTCACCAAGTCCCCCCCCACATACCCCTTCACAGTCACTGTCCATCAGCGTAGTAAGATGCTGTAGAGTCACTACTTGTCTTCTCTGTGTTGCACAGCCCTCCCTGTGCCCCACCCACACTATACATGCTAATCGTAATGCCCCCCTTCTTTTTTCCCGCCCTTGTCCCTCCCTTCCCACCCATTCTCCCCAGTACCTTTCCCTTTGGTAACTGTTAGTCCATTCGTGGGTTCTGTGAGTCTGCTGCTGTTTGGTTCCTTCAATTTTGCTTCATTGTTATACTCCACAAATGAGGAAAATCATTTGGTACTTGTCTTTCTCCGCCTGGCTTATTTCACTGAGCATAATACCCTCTAGCTCTATCCACACTGTTGCAAATGGTAGGATTTGTTTTCTTCTTATGGCTGAATAATATTCCATTGTGTATATGTACCACATCTTCTTTACCCATTCATTCACTGATGGACACTTAGGTTGCTAAAAGTACATCCTTGTCTAGAAATAAAAGAATGCTGACTTCACAGAAATTTTTGTAGTTCCATAAGTTGAAGTGGAATCTATGCTAATTGCTTCTTGGGTGGGAAGCCACAGGGGCCTGACTTTCAAAGAGTCTCACTTGTTTAGAAAACCTCTTCCTTTTTGGGGTAGAATACCAATTAGGTCTCTTTTCTCCATCATCAGGAAATCAAGGAGAACTAAGAAGAACTCATTCATCTTTCTCTCTCTCTGCCTCCTGAGCAAACTGAATGTTCCTTCTCTTTTATAAAGAAAAGGTTTAGTTTAGATGCTTATTATAACATTTAAGAATTACCAATCTCAGAAATAACCCAAATGTCCATCAGCAGACGAAGAGAATAAACAAAATGTGATATATCTACACAATGGAATCTTACTGTGATACATACACACAATGGAGTACTACTGTGGCGTGTAGATACGATGGAGTATCACTGTTGTATGCACATACAATGGAGTATCACTCAGCCTTAAAAAGGGAGGAAATTCCGATACATGTGACAACATGAACCCAGAATACATTATGCTGAGTGAAGTAAGTCAGACACAAAAGGATAAATATTTATGATTCCTCTTATATCAGGTAATTAACATAGTCAAATTCATACAGAGAGAACCTAGAATGGCGGCTGCCAGAGGCTAGGGGGACATGGGAATGGGGAGTCACTGTGCAATAGGTATGGAGGTTCGGTTTAGGAAGAGTGAGAGTTCTGGAGATGGACGGTGACGATTGTCGCACGACAATATGAATGCACTTAATGTCACTAAACTGTACACTTAGAATGGTTAAATGGTAAAACTTAAGTACATTTTATGACAATAAAGACTAAGGGCAAACAAAAACAATTACCAAGGAAAAAAAGAAAAGCTATAACCTTCTGGCCAAGTAAAACAATAGAACATATCCCATGTGTCTGCTTCTGAGGCCAGGCAATGATCTCTCGGCTGCCTCCAGTGCCATCCCCTAGCCTTACTCTATTTACTGTGAACTAATAAAATTCTTACAGCACTTAGGAAAAAACCAAACACTTTAATTCACCAGTCTTTAGTTGTATCACTTACCACTTTAGAAGGCAGTTTCTGAAAAAGTTCACTAATGAGATGTCCTGATGGATTTGTGGCTACAACTATGGCTTCAAGAAGTCGCTCCAGGATCTCCTTCAAGTAGCTTGGAGAAGACTAGCGGAGAGAGCAGGGGGGAGGAGAGAGGGGAGAAGTACTCTGTGAGGGAAATCCAAAAATAAAGGCCAGCATTCAACAGCTCATTCCAAAGAGCAACTTCTACAGTACTTGTTTTAAGTACAAGTTTCAAAACACTGCAGAAATGCTCTGGTGCACCCCCAGAATGGCTTATGTAAAAGTAATGATGCCCCTTACATTGCTTTGGTAACTAAACCCTTTGGATCAGGTCCTTTTACTGAACTCTATTCCACAGCAAATACTAACAATGAAGTTCAAATGCCATATGTGTGAAATGATAGAAATGCATACCTTTTTAGGGTCTGAGCAACTGAGACTGAGAAAACATGGTCCATGTTACTTTGCCATTTCTACATCTGCTATTTGTGTCTACTGTAGTCTCAGTATTCTGGTAGAACGATGACATATGTAAAGATGGAACTACATTCTTTTAAACCACGGGGTACTCTGCCAGATTTGACAACAGAATTCAAGTTACGTCCAAACTGAATGGAGATGAGTCAGTTGAGGCACATCACCACTGCTCTCCCGCCTGGCTGGCTTACTACCACCTTAGTCACCGTTTCAACATGGCGAAGTGTATGCCGCATAGAGTACTTGGCCAAAGTCAGTCTCGATCTGAAGACATTTTCTACATTTTCATCCCAGTGAGCAATAGGCTGTCTCAGTCAAGGTTTATATTAAATGGCACTTCAAACCAACACCATGTTTTAGGCATATAAAATAACGATTAACAGTATTTCTGGTTTAAATCATAAAAGCACTAGCATTTTTATCTTAACCCAACAGATTGTCTTTTTATATAGTGTAGTCTCCATTTTAAGGCCTAACATAGACCACAGATAGGGTACTAACATCTCTCAGGTCTGGCACAAGTGCCTGGTAATATAGACACACGATAAATATTTAACATAAGACATGTGATTTAGCCAAGAGCCCCAACCTCATCAGCTTAGAGAATCAACATACCACTGATGAAAGCAGGCTGAAATATCCAAGTTTAAGTCACTTACCTCCTGGCTAAAACACGGTACCACAGAGTTAGCTTCAAGAAGAGGAGCTATGCTCTGCAGCCAAGCTTCCTCTCCTCCCAACCCAACCAGCTGCCGCGGAGACATGCTTTGCAGGTATATGAATGCATTCCTACAACCTGCTCCCACAAATGGGAAAGAAGTTCCAAGGAAATCATTCTTAAGTTAAAAAGGAGAAGCTTGAGAATTCCCTCGCCCTGCCAAAGCACCTCAGGGCTAGAAAGAAGTCTGGGAGGAATAAATACGAATGTGCAAGAGCCTCCCAGCTTCTTACCAAAGACACACAGGCAAGTCCTAAATGCAGGCATTTTCAGCTCTCAACTAGAAACCCAGAGGCCTATGGTAAGATTGAGCTCTCCACAGGTAATGTTCCGCCCAGGAAAGCATGAATTAAGCTGTAGCTCCCTTATTAATATTAGAGTGAATTTCTAGGGAATTCCTAGTGAATTGTCCTCTACCTAATTTCAATGACTTAATTTCTAGAAAGAAATTGACAGTGTGTCTAGGAACAACATTTTGAGACTCTAAGAATTACTTATGTTTTTGAGAAAAACTGCTTCTTTCTGTGTTGGGTTCTGGCAAAAGGCCTATCTTAGGGTAGAAGGTAACTTAGGGAAGAAGGGGAGCATTTCACTATTCAGCTACAGAAGAGAGATGATACTCCTCCTACTATTCTTTGTCCTCTTTGAAAACATGAGTGTTCGTTCAGCAAGTGCTTGTCACTAGTTTCACGTCAGACACAGTTTAGACGCTAGGGATAGGGGAACAAGGTGATGTCTTTTGTGGAGCTATCTTTCCGTTTGGAGGACAGATGGAAAGTGAACATGGAAGCTAACTAACAAGTTATTTCACATATAGTGATAACTGAAGACCACAGAACAGGGTGATGTGATGACAGGAAAGGAGCATGCAGGAAGCAGTTCAGATGTGGTGGTGACGTGCTCTCCCGGCTGACATGACTTTAAGTGATGTTAGAATAATGCAAAGGCACAAGCTTGGGAAGATGGCAGAGAGGAAGGATCCTGAGCTCACTTCCTCCCACAGGCACATCAAAGCTACACCAACATGCAGTGCAACTCACTCTGTAAACCCCCTCAGGATGAGCATAGCAGCTCTTCCACAACTAAAGATAGAAAGAAAAAGCTCCATGGAGAAGGGTAGGAGGGGCAGAGCTGCGGCTGGGAACTATGACCCCCCGGGATGGTGACCCACACGCAAGAAGGGTGCCACAAGTGTGGAGGTGCTCCCTGAGAAGCAAGGAGATAAAGCCCACTGGGCATTCCCTGCCCTGGTCCCAGGACTGTCCCAGGAAGATGAGCCCCATAATGATTGTCTTTGCAAATCAGCAGAGTTTAACTTCAGGAGACCTGGAGGACTATAGGAAACCGAGAGTCTACTCTTAAGGAGCCCAGGCACACACTTACTTGCTCCAAGAGCTAGCACAGTTTGAGAAGTTCCTGGGTTATAGGTGAAGGAGACTGCTTGGCTAATTTTTGGGTGTGTGCCGGAGTGGCAGAGATCTGCAGGAATGTTCTCCAGGAGTGGCAGTGCTGTGGGTCCCATCTGTTGTGCCCTCCTTCGGCCCTGCTGATCTGGCGCCAGGGCAGCCAGCTCTGACCCTTCCCATCTCCCTTGCTGAGCGCTGCCTGACTGGCCCTGGCTGAGCGCCCTCCAAAAGTGGATCCAGCACGGCCACACCTGGCAGGCAGCGTCGGTCAAGATCAGTGTTCCCCCAAACTGACTACCACCCCACCACACCCGGTGAGGACTGGTGCTCCTGGAAGCGACTCCTGTCCTGGGGAGTCAGGGGAGGGCCAGCATCACCCATGAGCAGCCCACAACAGTTGTAGTGGGAGCCAGTCTCGGACACCAGGATGTCTGCTGTGGCCATCACGGCTCAGCCACAGCAGGCGGGTGCATACCACAGCCCACACAGAGGAGACCCCTGAAATGCCTGCTTCCGGTGACAGGGGTACTGTGCTACTGGGTCCCACAGGACAGTTCCTACACAAGGCCACTATTTCAAGACAAGGAGATGTAACTGATCTTCCTTATACATAGGAACAAACACAGAGTCAGACAAAATGTGGAGACAGAGGAATGTGTTCCAAATGAAAGAACCAGACAAAATCTGAGAAAAAGTAGTAAACAAAACATAGTTAAACAATCACCTAATGAAGAGTTTGAAGCAATGTTCATAAAGATATTTACTAGACTTGAGAGTGGATGACCTCAGTGAAAACCACAACAAAGTAACAGAAAATACAAAAAAGAACCAAACAGAGCTAAAGAATGTGATAACTAGAATGAAAAACATACACTAGAAGGAATCAACAGCAGAGCAGAGGGTGCAGAACAGATCAGTATGCTGCCAGACAGAGTAGTGGAAATCATCCAAGTTGAACAACAAAAAGAAAAAATAATTTTAAGAAAAGACCACTGGGATAACATTTGCTTTACAGGAGTCCCAGAAAGAGGAGAGAGAGAGACAAAGGAGCACAAAACTTATTTAAGAAATAATAGCTAAAAACTTCGCTAATTTGGGGAAAGAAACAGATATATAAGTCAAGGACGCACAGAGACTCCCAAACAAGATGAATCCAAGAACGTCCAGACCAAGATACACAATGTAAGCAAAATGGCAAAGATTAAAGGTAAAGAGAGAATCTTAAAAGCAGCAAGACAAAAACAAACAGTTACATACAAGGGAAGTCCCAAAAGGCTATCATTTGATTTTTTCAGTAGAAACTTTGTAGGCCCGAAGGCAGTGGCATGATACACTCAACATGCAGAAAGGAAAAAACCTACAACCAAGAATATTTCAGCTGGCAAGGTTATCACTTGGAATTGACAGAGATTAAGTTTTCTGGACAAACAAAATTTAAAGGACCTCAGTGCCACTAAATTGTCCTTAAAACAAATGTTAAATAGGCTTCTTTAAGTGGAAAAGAGAGGACCAAAACCAGATGTAAGAAAATTAGGAAAGGGAGAACAAACATATAGCAAATGTAGTATATCACTTAAAAGGTTAGTATAAAGGTCAAAAGACAAAAGTAGTAAATTCAATTATGTCTACAATAGTTATTTAAGTGATACACAAATAGATACAAAATATGACATCAAATGCATAAAACATCGATTGGGGATGTAGAAATGTAGTGCTTTTAGAATGTGTTTGAACTTAAAACAACCATTAACTTAAAATAGACTGTTAAATACATAGAATGTTGTAGTTGAATCTCATGATAACCACAAGCCAAACACCTGTAACAGATACACAAAAATTAAAAAGGATAGGACTGTAAGAAGAGAAGGAGCAGAGAACTACAAAAAATAATCAGAAAACAATTAACACAATGGTGATAAGTATTAATAATTACATTAAATGTAGATGGATTAAATGCTCCAATCAAAAGACACAGGGTGACTTAATGGATAAAAAAATAAGACCCGTCTAGATGCTGTCTGTAAGAGACTCACTTTGGACCTAAAGAAACTTTTAGACAAAGTGAAGGCAGGGAGAGCAATACTTATATTAGAAAAGAAGACTTTAAAACAAAGATTATAACAAGAGACAAAAAAGGGCATTAAATAATGATAAATGGATCAATACAGTAAGATGACATAACAACTGTAAATATCTATACACCCAACATAGGAGCACCAAAATACAAAAAGCAAATTTTAATAAACATAAAGGATAAAATTGACAGTAATACAATAATAGTAGGGGATCTTTAACAACCACTTACATTAGTGAAGAGAACATCCAGACAGAAATCAGTAAAAACATGGTGGCTTTGAATGACACATTAGATCAGATGGACTTAATATTCCATCCAAGATGGAATACATTCTTTTTGAACGTACATGGATCATTCTCCAGGATAGATCACATGTTAGGCTAGCTCACTAAGTTTAAGATGACTTAGATATCAAGCATCTTTT